AAAGGCAAAAATCTTAAACTCAAGTGATGCACTAAAAGTATTCAAGGTCATAAACAAAAGACTCCAAAGTGGTTCCTTCTCAGTAGCTTTTCAGTTCAAACAGGCATGACACAGTGAGAAAAAGAAACCTTGTCTAAGACAGAGAGAGAGACACATGACCACAGAGGGAAAAAAAATAATATGTGATTTGTATTAGAGACCCTGGGTAAAAGCTTCATTAAAAGATGTCTTTTATGGTGGTGGAAGTAATGAGAATGTAATTATAGTGAAAGCAAATGTGACATGTTAGCTATAGAACAAGAAAACTCTGAAGTACTTGATGTGCCTTAACTGATTTCGTCCTCAAGTCAATATGACATTGGAACTATTCTGACTATGTTTTCTAGATGAGGAAATTGACACAAGCCAAATGGACTTGACTGGAATCATACAGAATAATGACTTGGAAATAAGTCACTAGGAAGAAGGAAAATTCTATGACAGATTAAACCACCTATTATTTTAGATTCACTGCTAGGTGTCTTGCACAACATTTACAAAAACAATCCAGAGCAAGACGAGCAGAGTAATCAGTTAAAAGTCAATGCGCCCACCTAGTAAGCTCAAGGTCCTGAGTTTGATCCTCAATACCGAAAAAAAAAAAAAAAAACTGAAAGAAAATATTTAAAGCACCTTCAATAAAAAGCACATGAATGAAAGAATGTGTAGGAAAAAGTAGTTCAGTAAGTAGTACTATGAAATGTCTGTCATGAGGACCAGAACTAACACTCACCCTTCATGGATAGTATTAGGTAATCCCTTCAGTTATGGAAGGATTAACCCAGAAATTCCCTCTAGGCCTATAGGAATTAACACTTGGTTTTAATTAAGGGGAGGAAAGTATACAAGGGCCTTCCCTCATACCTATTACCTGGTTTATGCAGACACAGTGCTTACCTTTACACTATAACCATCACAACTTCCTAGAACTGACTCAGGCATATAATATCCATTCAGTAAATATTGTTGAATAAATGAATTAGAAAAAAAAATAATATTAAAAGGCAGTATTTGTGGGATGTTATAGCTAGATAGTTTGGAAAGTAGAGGCAAAGCTCTAATTCAACAGGCAGTGATGAAGAAACCAAAGGAATTAAACAAGTCTACCTTACTAGAAATCATCATAACTGAACAAGAGTTTGACCTGAAGGACTCTAAATAAGGAGAGTGACAGTAAAAAAATAAATAACAAAAGCATTTGCAATAATTGGAGATTAACTCCTATAAAAGTTTTGGGCAGAGGGCAAGGTATTCACATTTTATCAAGATGGTGTTTTACCAGTACAGTGTTAGTGAGAAAATGAAAATGCCAACATGTGAAGACATTAAATGGCACAGATAATAATGCTAAATGCATCAGCAGATGACAGCTGGAACAATTCTATTGTGCCAGGCTCTGGGGAAAAGGCTTTACATATATGACACACTGATTAAGTGCAAGTGTGCATGCAGATCAATTCTCACTTGCTTCTCCAAATGAATTGGGTCAAGACATTCAAGCTCTCGTGTGTTTTTATGTCTGGTATCTTATCATCTGTAACAAAATTAATGGCATATATTCTCTAGGGATGGAGTTGCAAAGATTCAGTGAGAAAGGCTGAAGGAGAGAAAAGGAAGTAAGTGAAAAATAGGAGAAAATTTAGGGCTTCAATTTACATGAAGATAAGCAAAATTAGTACCGCCTGGTGGGTCTGACAGGTGAGCTCAGGAGATCTCTCAACTGGACCATCACACCCCAGACTGGATTATCTTTGTATCATCAGTAACTGCATCATCAGTTACATTTTTTCCTCTTAATCTCACTATTTTCAAAACTTTCATTAGTTTTTCATATTTGTTTTCATGAGTATCTCCAACACTAAGCCATGAGTTCCTTGAAGATAAAGGATGTTTCTTAGAGCTTTTATTCTCTTCCCATAGATCATGCAAGATACACTTTAATTGTGGTAAATTAATGGAGAGGATGATAGAAAAATATTACACCAAAGAAATTGATGCGAATGACAATTTTAAGAATTTGTTGTTAAAAGATGTGGAAGCACTCTCATAAAGCAGAAAATAAGGGCATAACATGTATATAAGTATTATATATATTTAACACACATAATATGCATATATTCTTGCACAAACATATCAGGTATATATACAAGCATACAGTTTGTTATTAAGATTCCCCCAAAGTTACTTTAAATTTAACTCATTACTGTTTCATCCCTTTCCATTTCTTCTTATTAGATAAGGAATTCAAGAAGTTCATAGCTTTTCTTATTCTGAAAGCATGAGTTTTTGGGTTTTTTTTAGTACTGGTGATTAAACACATGGCCTATGCAGAATTACATGCCTCTCCTTTTTAAACTTTTTATTTTGAGCCAGGGTCTCGCTAACTCTCTTAAATTGCATAGGCTGTGCTTCAACTTCCAATCTTCCTGTCTTAGCCTCCCAGAGTGCTAGAATTATAAGCATGCACCACCAGGTCTGGTTAAAAGCCTGAGAAATTAACTTAAGGCTGAGAAAGGGGTAATGGAAAGCCTTGGAATTATCTGCAAGGGTGGAGGAAGGCCATTAGCAGGTTAACAGAGAGAAGGACCCATGCCATTCTACTGAGCTAACCTCAGAATGAAGTCAACTATCAAAGCTTGTCTCACTAAGACTTCATCATTGTTCTGGCTCTACCTACCTTTATCATCTATATTCTTAAGTGTCTCCCTTGAATTTAGAATTTTTCACTACACTGACAATCTGAACTCCAATTAACCTATCTTTTCAGGAACTCTGCATTGGTATTTATTTACCTGTGAGACTTCAAACAATGATCTAAATCACTCAACTCTTTCTTCCTGAACTTAGAAATTCTGCCATGCAGCTCACAGACAATGTATTTTCAATAGGTCATAATTCTTCCTAAACACCCAATATCTTAGCACATGCTTTAAATCCTAGAAATGCTATACTTTGTGTATGTTAGCCTAGCTTTTCATGTGTTGTTGGGTAAAACATAACTTAATATTAAGTCCAAAAAAAGATTCAATAAATTAATTAGTGAAGAAACCATCCATGAATCAACTCCTTTTACTGCCTGCCTCTGAGGACACCTTTAAGGATACACAATTAGACACTAATATGAAAGTCACCTTTCCTTGAGATAGTCTCTCAACTGAAAACAAAACTGTTAAAGTTCAGGAAGATAAAAGAATATATGCTTAGGCTAAAAATGTGCTCTTTAATACTCATGCATGCACAAAATCATATATCATTAGCCTGGAACTAACAGAACTGCCTCAGTCCCTGAGGATCGGTCTGTCTTTCACCTGCATCTATCATCCTTATCACAAAACAGGTACAAACTAAAACACTACCAACAACCTCCTACTATATCCTCTGTAATGTGATTTCCATTTTAGCAATTGTCAGGGCAGAGTTCTTTCCACAAAATACAACCTTACTTGGGAACAGATTTATCCCCATCTTACACATGCCTAGTCCTCCAACTTATCTTTCATTGTACTGAATTCAATTTCAGTGGCACAGAGCTAAGATTTTAATATAATCCTTTAAGTGTTCACTTTTCAAACTATACAGATACATTCACTATTTATAACATTCAAATAAACATCACATAATAAATACATTATCATTAATCAACAGTTTCTTTTACCTGCTGGAAATCAATAAAAGTTTAATGCCTACCCTAATAATAAAATACTCCATAAGTACTAACTGTATTTAAAATCAATAGCATTGTCAAGCCATATACTTTGATTCTATGGATTCTTACAATATGTTTTCTGACTCCAAAATACCTAGAAATAATATTATTGTTACTGAGGAGAAACTAGCCACCAAAAAACCAAGTAGTATTAAAATATTTAATATAATAACACATAGCATTTTAAAAATTTTATGTAACGTTATTATAAGAAGGTTTATGTTGTATGAGTTTTGGTGTGAGAATGATAAGAACCAAATATCTTATAAAGGAAAATCCAGATTTATTATGGCTACATTTAACTATTAATTTCTATAAAAGCCAAAGATAGCTATAAAACTGACCAACAAAAGTAAATCTGTCCTAGACACATTGCTCTAAAAAAGAAACCTAAAATGATCAACCATTATTTTATTGGATAAAAATAAGAAGATACCAAACACTATTAAAATGGCATAGAGTCGGTTTGAATTTCGAGATAAAAATAGGTCAATGTTAGAATGACCTTGAAGAAGGAAAAACAAAACAACAAGACAGGGAAAGGTCAATATCACAAAGTGATTAAAGAGATGGAAGAGAACTTTCTTCTACATCATTAAACTCATCAATATTATACTGAACTCCAGAGTGCTTACCATTTTCTTGTGCCATTAGAGAATTTAGTAGGTTCACTGAATTGACTGAATGCTTTGTTAATCTATTTATATGGGTTAAGACCCTGACAGACATAAAACCTAACCAAAAAAGTTGCAGACAGAGAGTATTGTGAAAGACTGAGTGATGTATGCTTTGAGGTACAGCCTATCCAATAAATGTGCTTGGTCAGCAAAGAATCCACTTGCAAAGATTTATTATTGTAACAAATACATTAAAAAAGATTGAATACAATAAAACTTGCAATATAAACACAATTATTTGCTTTGTGTACTTTATTTTTCAATAATTACATTAAAATTATCTTCATATACTTCATTCAACAATAAACTTTTTGAACCAGCACAATCAATGATTATAGTACATCAATTACCATTAGTGTAGTCCTATGACCCATACAAAAGAAAACACAGTTTATATTAGTTAGAACTCTTCAACAACTTTTAAAACATATGTTGAGAAGGAAATATTTCTAGGAAATACATCATCAAGAGAAAAGGTAAAAACTTCGTCACCTAGGATAAATTATCAGAATATTTTAATTATATCTAATACACTAAATAAAGTAAAGGTCAGACAGAAAGAATTTTAAATGCTATACCTCCAAGTTCTTTTACATTCAAGATGGCATTCTGGAATGGCACTGCCTTTATACTAAAACCTAAAATTAGAAAACAAAAACGCAAGAATTAGCACATTAAATTTTAAATTAAAATTCTTAAGATGCTCATATCCCCTCTTTAGGAAAATGAAGTTTTACTTTCCATAGCTCAAACTTATACTAGAAACTCAATTTCCAAAGTAGCTGATTATCTCATAATATTATATACAATTTTGAAAAATTCATTGTACATTACAGCAAAATATAAACCTAGCCCCATTACTTGAACAATGTTTTTTTTTAATTAATACATAATATACCACATAACTCATCAATTGTAAGAAAGATACTTGTAAGTACAGAGAAACTTCAAAGTAAATATTAAATTTACAGGAGCCTCTGCATCTAATTCCTTACAAATTTTTCTCACATATACCTCATCAACTCTAGAGATCAACATACTTAAATTATAACCATTTTACATTAGAATTATATTGTATTCCTGTTACTGTTTTCTTTTATAGGCATGGTTAATAATAGACAAATATTTTTCTTAAAAGTACAATCATAATTGTACCATTCATGCACAGCAATCATTTTATAGTGCATTTACAAATGATTTATAGTAAAAATATATTAACTGGATAGTTAATGTAAAACAGTTCCCTCTTGAGGTCTCCCATTTATCATTCCGCTATAGTAAAAATATATTCAAAGTATATAGTTCTATGATGAACAATGTATTTAGGACTTAACTATTATAAATTCATTTGAATGTTTTATCACATACCTGTGTTTCTTTTTCAAGTAAAGCCCTACTAATTCTTTTAAGAGCACAGTAACAATGAAATATTTTTTGAAAAAAAGTTTAAATTCCCAGAAAAAAACCCCACAATGTTAGAATTAGCTCAAGAAGAATTTAAAATCTTGAATACATGTATAAAAATTGAAAATGTGAACCAAATAATTCACCCCATATACCCATTAAACATACAGAACAACTACAACAGAAAACTAAGGCTTCAGGCTTAGGTAGTTTACACATGAATTCCACTATAGTTTCCAAAAGTAGAAGAATATTTTGTAATATAAGAGCATTAATGTTTCTTTAAAAAACTGCAAAAGAAGAAGGTAACTAATTATGAGTATAATGATACCAGCATTAAGGGTAAGTTTACTAGACAGCTGAAAAGGAAAATATATTTTGAATGTTTAAAATAGGAAACTCATTATCTACACGAGAAGATATATTAAGTACACACTAAGCAAATATAGTCACAGCCCCAGGATCTTCACAAGTTCTTTCTTTATAAAGTTATTACTCAAATGATAACTAATGTAAAATAAAGCCCATTTCTGTTCTTCTTTCTAGGGTTCAATTTTCAGTTAGAATGAGTTTTATCACAGACCAAGACACAGGAAGACAAAAATCACACTTTTGAGGCTGGCTATTATACTATCAGTACCCATAAGATTTTGTCCTGTTTCTTTTTTAAATTCTTACTTAAAAAAACATCTATTTTTATGTAAGCTTTGTTTGGGCAAGCCGTTCTCCTTAGCAGAAATTTATTTCTGTGAGAAAAGATGAGTAAAAATACCATTTTCATGAGAATTCTCTGGCTATCTTAAAGCACCACTAATTCCATGTAAGGTTTTAAGCATTATTATGTACACTTAAAAAACGAATCAAACTTAGTCCCTTTTCTAAGAAATTATCAATAAAGACGATGATACTCAAATACTTTTCATGTCAACTTATGACAGGTGCACAGAAAGGTGAAAAGGTTAGTATAATATTGATAAGAACAATTATTTTGCAGAGTTTTACAGTTTTACTTTGCCTTTTTAGTCTAGCCTATCTCTCGCACTCCTTAGCTACCTCTTGCCCCAGCACTTCAATAAACGATTTGTACCCTTCACATCAGGCAGTATTATATAATGGCTGAAGAACTGACTTTGAGTCAACAGAACTAGGCTTAAATTCTAGCTCTGGTTTATAAGCTCTATCACTGTGGGCAACCTACTAGCCTTCCCTTTCTTCTTTGTAAAACACAAATGATAGTATCTGCTTTACAACGTTGCTACAAGGATGAGACAATATATCTAGTATAACATAGTTCTTGGTGCCCGATAAACACACAATATATATCTGCTAGCATTATATTTTGATTGATGATTATTAACTTAAACATTAGGTATATCTAAATATATCATCTACCGAATATTTTACAAAATCATAAGGCAGAAATTCTGGGTGCTCATTTATTAATCAAGTATCTACTTGGAGAAGTAAAAGTTAACACTGAATGAAAAGTACCATGTTGTTGGTGTGACAGGGGTGTCAACAGTGGAAATGTGCTGCACAGAAAATACATGAACAATGGACTCTACAAAATCTTCCAAAATATACCCTTCCATCATGGGTTTAAAGGCAGACTGACATAGTCAGTACACAAGGTGCATAAGGTGACTGAATCTTAAGAAAATAGCAGGAGGAAAAGAGAAGGCAATCCCAAGTGACATGAACCTGGGCCTTTAGAAAAACTTCTCCAGGTGTCTGGCCTCTGGGAAATTAAGACAAGCCTGTGCCAATCATAATACTTCTGCTGGCACCAAAATTCCCCTGCAGGAGACTTGGACGCTTGAACATATCTACCTACTTCATATGGACTATATAATGGATTAAAAGGCAATGATTGTGAAATACTGGAAACACGAAGCTTTATGCAAATGCTACATAGTTTATTAGTGGTAATGTTTGGAACAATTCAAGTATGGATTTTCCAGAGAAGAACACATCCCAACTTTGAAAAGGAAATTTATACAGCACAACAACAATGTTTAATCAGGTTTGATTCTTAAAAGCTTATTACCTTTCTAGAAAGGCCACACACTTATGCAAAATATAACTCTGGAAATTAACGGGCAGGTTATATTGCCGTTACTGCCCTTAAGTCCATGCAGAGTATTCATAATAAACTGATTACAAAAATGTGTTCAGATGTTCACAATAAGCAAAGAAACCTACCAATGTTATTTATACACATATAAATATATCTGCAGAATATCTATAATTTTTTTTCTCAACTAGAACACACATAGCTACATTAATATTACAAAGGTTTACATAGTCTTCCATTTTGCTATCTCTACATTATTTTTACAGTAAAGCTATAGTAATTAATGTTCAGAGGACAAAGTATACATATCAGTCCAGAAAACAAGAAAATGTACTACTCATAGGAGAGAAACAACATTTTACTATTTTAGTCATTCTAAGCATTTGCAAAGATAAAACACAACTAAAAATTTAAAGCAACACTGAGTTCACCAGAAGGGCAAGCAAAAAGGGCAACTAGCATATTTTATTTCATTTCTTTACATTGGAATGGATTAAGTCAAGAGGTAAAGAATTAATATTGCTTTGAAGAATAAAAGAATGGACTCTAAAGCAAGGATGGGTTTAAATTCTGGGTTTACCATTTATTAGTCCTTTGATTTTGAGGAAGGCATTTTGTCATGGAAACCTTCTCTGGTATACTTAATTAACTAGGTTGATTTTTCTGAATGGAAGTTCCTCCAATGCTAAGTACTAAGTGATTTTCACAGTTTTAACTACATATCAATTTATTTGTTTTTTGTTTGTCACTAACTAGACTGCAAGGATTCCTCATGGAGAAATACTGTGTATGGTATCCTGTATGCCAATGCCTGGTAAATAATACAATTTCAATACTGCTTAAAGATCTCTGCTAAAGATTCACATATATTTGCAAATTTACAACAATCCCAGTTAATATAAGTACTACTGTACAGTACTACACTGTAATAACATAAACATAAACAAAGTGAAGCATAAAATGGTTAAGTATCTCGCCAAAAGTACTAAGTGCTATATTCAAGGTTTGAACCCAGGTCTTGTGACCAGAGCTCTATACTATCACAGCTCCTCTATGTATATACAAACAAGTTGGTAGATTCAGACTATATTGTTCAATTTTGAGCTTACATGGTGGTAGAGCTGATTGGCCAAAACACACATCCCTCACAAACCACTAGTTTACTTTGCTTTTTGTTTATAAATCAACATGACAAACCCAAGTGTTCTCAGGTCTACATGGCATGGCTTTTTAATGGGATAAAATAAAAGCATCGATTTAGGAAGTTCTTTATTAGAAAACATAATTAGAAAAAAGAACTTGGGAAGGGAGGAAAAATGTACAGCTGACCGAGCAATAGCAGTCTGATCATTCTTGCTTTTTCAAATACTAAGTGTCTCCACTGGGAGACTGTGCTGATGTGAAGAGGCACTGCCTAAAAGTCCTGGTCACCAGTACTCAAACTCACCAGTCACATTTTTCACCTGCTTTAGCCTTGACATCATCATCCACAAAATGAGCGAACCATATTAGCGCTTAGATGTCTCTTAAAATTAGGATTCATCTATATTAAACAAAAAGGAGGAAATTACAGTAACCACCAAGTCAATCCTCAGTGGTCTCCAGTATCTGGCTGAGGGCCTCAAGGGTAGGTCTCCCCAGGCTACATTCAAGCAATTTGATGGCAGAAGCCAAAGTTAAGCACTCATTTTTTCCTGGCCTATCTAACCTACATTATTAAGACTAAAACCTCCCCTAAGATTTAACCCCGCAAATTTTAATAAATATATGACTTAGTAACTCTTTGGGGAAATAATTGTTTGCATAGACTTTCAATCTTTGTTTTGCAGTCCTTAAATCAACAAAACCTGTGATACAAGGAAGATGGATTTGAAATTTTTCATGCAGGGAAAGCATTTTTGGAATTGTTAACAAAATTAGTTTTGGGAGGAAGGATAGTCTAATTTTATTCATCATGTGGAATACTTGAATAGTTTACTTGGGCTTACATATTGAATCCTCCTTGCCCCCTCCAAGACTGTACATATACACAGATATTTGATGTGTGCTTCTGTGATTTCCGAGTCACCCAGGAACTTCTAAAAGAAGACTTTCCATAGATCTGGTAATCTTGACCTAGACAAAGAACATTACTTACTCCATCGCAATTTTGTGATATTT